TTCTGCTCTGCAGCTACTTCACATTGATTTGACAGTTGGGTTGGGCATTTGATTTTCCACTGCTTTGGCGGTTACATAATTTTGACACATTTAGCTGCTTTGGACATTTTTGATATTGTATTGAATCCTTTTCCACTGCTCTGAGGTTTGAGGTGATGTACTTGAAGGATGTGGGAGACCTGGGTGACTGTCGTGTCAGTGCTTGGCCTGGGGCACCGCCATCCCACCCCAGGGATATAGTCTGTGTGGTCAGGCAGCGAATGAGCAGCCGTGCATTTCACCAGGTTGCTCTGCTGGTTCCAGGCAGGGGTTGGCTGAACCAATCTGGAAGTTTACAATAAATAGGTAATGACAATCACAGTGTTCCATTCTCAGTGCTGCCCTTGCAGGTGACTTTGTTCCTTTTCTCCGGGCGCGATTGACAGTGCAGCCTTCAGGGGACTTCCCTCGAAAGGACATCTCTCCAAAGGACCAGAAGGACATACTTGCTCGGGCAAAGGAAGTCTACGATGCAGGGCAGCTGTCTGCAGCTGATCTTATGTTGAATGGTTTTTGCGCAGGTTGCAACAATTGCTGAGATCATAGTTTTCCTTCTGTGTCCTTATGGTCCTTGGACCACTTGGCTGTGTGACTTTGCTTTGATTGAGGAAGCTGGGCGTGACTTCTTGGTTGGGTGGGCAACAAGTACATTGCGACGTGCGCCCAGGCCGTCTTACTACAACTTCTTGGAGAACAGGCCTGGCCCATGTTGCTAATGTTATATTGTACTCAATTTGCCTGAGCCCATGTGCAGACTCACTCAAACAGTGTTCTATTCCACTGAGGTTTGATGAGCAAACTCCTTTGCCAGTTGGGCAAGGGCACTCTGTGGAGGACCGAGAACCCAGGCCAATCCATGTGTGGCATGATGGGGGCGAGGCATTGCCCATGGATGATGATCCGGATGTTCCTTGGCATTTGATTGCATGGTGTGTATCTCAACTTTTGGCTGAAACTTGCTGTCACAAAGTGCATCGTTTCATGCTGATTGCTTGATGTGAGCACTTGTTTAATGACTTGGTTGGGACTTGGATGAAAACTTGTGGCAAGGCAGAAGATGCAGAAGAGCAACCACTGCTGGATCTAGCTGGCTGAGTTCAGTTGAGAAAAAGAGTTTGCCATGTTCCCAAAAATTACATTGTTCATTGTGTGTACAGAGGTTCAGTGAGTAGTCATTGTATACTTGCTGTTTGTGCATTGTGAGGTTGGTGTTGGCTCAACTCAGGGGGCTGAAGTGTTTCAATCAGATTGCTACAAGAACAGCAACAGTAAATTTGTTGTTGGGTGTGAAGATGCCGAAGCCTGGTCCATCTAACGACAATCGCAAGGCCAGACGAGCCTCTTTGCAAAAGATCAAAGAAGAACGAGAGAAGTTAGAAGAAGAGAAGAGGCAGTTTTCACTGGCCAGTCAAAATGTCTCACAGAACAGTGAGGAGTTGGAAGCTGCAAAAGCTGCAGCGCAGTGGGCCAAGGATCAAGAGATGTGGGCCAAGGAGCAGGCAAAGGCTTCCTACTGGAAGATGAGAGAGTCTGAGCAAGTGGCAGAAGATGCAAATCAAGCTCTGCAGAAGGCTGAGTGGCGGTTCAATGAGCAATTGAACTGGGCAAGAGATGCAGAGAAAAAGGCAAAAGAACGAGCAAAGGATTCCTACTGGAAGATGATAGAGATGAAGCAAAGTGCAGAAGATCTGCAGAAATTTTCACAGAGGGTTCAGTGGCAGTATAGGGAAACTGCCAAGGAGCTTGCGATCAAGGTGGGCCAGGTAGACACTGAGTCAAAGGCCAAGGAGAAGCTAAAGGAAGAACTTCGCAAGCAAACGCAGGCAGGGTGAGCAACTCCAGTTTGTTTCAATTTCTGATTTGTATGCACTGTTTGTCAGGAATCTGAAATCTGGATGGATGCGTTCTTTGCAAGCGAGGGTGGTGCATCCTCTTCCAGGTCCTGGGGCCAAGTTGCTTTTTGATGTAGTCAAACCCAACCTCCTGTAGCCAAAGCCAGTACAGTAACTGCCAGGAAGCAACCTCCAGTGGCATCTGAGAAGTCTGAGAAACAGAAAAGAAGAAGAGGCATGTTGTGTTGGGTGGCTGCATTACTGTTGCTGTTCTTGTTGTTGTTTTTCTGGGATTTAGCTGGGACTTTGCTGTCAGGAAGCGCAGTGCTGAAGATGATGGAGATGTGCGACCTTCATCCAGCAAGGGAAGGCATGGTGATTTTTGTTTTTTCTGTTCACTTGTGTTGTTGACAGTGAGATGTTTGTTTATTTGTGTTGTTGGCGCTGTGTCAGGTGAATCCTGCAACTTGCTTCGGCATCCTGTGTAAAAAAGGGCTGCTGATTGTGTCAGCATGAAAGCAGTTGCAGTTCTCACACATTGCAATAGTGCCCAAATGTTGTAGAAGCAGCTGGGTTGCTTGGAGTCTTGATTTCTGAGGTGCCAAGGCTGGCCCTGATGTGTAAGTGTGTTTGTTGTTTGATTGGTAGCAGCTGTAGTTATTGTAACTTATGCCTGCAGTTCTTCCATGAAAAATGATGCATGCCAGGCTGGAAAGCCATCTGATTGACAAGCTGCTGGAGACATTTTCCATTGCTACGATGTATAGTAGTGATGGAGGGCAAATGTCAGCTAGGGGCCATCAAGTCAACGCTGGAGTTCCAAGCGTTCGCCCAGTTTCTGGAATTCCAGAAGCTGGTGAACAAAAGAAAAGTAAGCAAAGTGACTCACTCCTGGAATTACTCGACCCAGATGGGCAAACTTTGCCTTGTCAAGGGGTCATGCCAGGATGGATCATTGTGGGCAACACTCTGCAATTGGTCCAAAAAAATAATCAATGTGAATTGTGCTTCAGCTTATTGGGGCTGTGGGGGCCATCAACCCATGCTTCATGCCAGGTTATGCCAGGCTGGAACTATAGGAAATCCTCAGGGGCCACCATCAACCCATATCTTTGTGCCAGGCTAGGGTGGATAATAACCAAATCCTAATGTTCAGTGTGCCAAAGCTGGAAACTAGACTCTAGTGACTCTAGTGTGCACTTTGCAGCGCATTCCTCTTTTTCAAGAGGCTCTATGTTTATTAAGTTAGGCTACTCTAAATCTTAACGATGATGACCTGCATTTAGCACCTTTCGGCGCATTCCTCTTTTGCAAGAAGTCCTATTTTACTAAGAAAAAACTACATCCCCCCATCCCCTTTCTGACCATCCTAATCCTATCACCATCCAATCCCTCACTCCACAAACAGGAATGAAAACTCCAAATAGAAATGAAAACATCAACTAACAGTGAGATGGCTTAAAAGGAAAGGGATTAACAGAAAAGGGGAAAAAGATCATGGAAAAGGAAAGGTAAAAGGACACGGAAAAGGCAAGAGGAAAAGAAGAGCCAACAAAAGCCAAAAGCCAACACAAGCCACCAAAAGCAACCGAAGCCACCAACAGAAGCCACCAAAAGCCAAAGCCAACAGAAGCTAAAAGCCAACACAAGCCACCAAGAGCCAACCGAAGCCACCAAAAGTTCACAGAAAGGGTCGGGACTCTAATTGGGATTTGTGTGTTGTTCTTAATCGGGATGTCTATTATTGGTGGTCTGTGTGGTTCTCAATGGGAAAGGCATTACAAGTAGAGATTTTGTCTAGAAGTTATCAAAAGCAAAAAATGCAATAGAAAACTCAATAAAACGCTGCAAAGTGATAATTCAATATAAAAGTCATTAAACCAATATCGATTTTACCAGAAAAGTTATCAAAAGTAACGGTTGTAACGGGTCAAAATGAGAGATTGTGACTAGTAAAGTCATCAAGAGCAGAGAATTCAGTAGACAATTCATCAAACATGTTTCAGCAAAAACGTTATCAACAGTAATTAGAGATTTTAAGGGGAAAGGCATCAAAAGTAAACATGTTGACTAGAAAAGTGCATCAAGAGTAGATATATTTAATAGAACTGTCCTTAAACATAGAATTCAATAGAGATTTCAATATATAGGTAAGTCATAAAAAGTAGAGATTTCGATAGAGGAGGCATCTTGATAGAAATGTCCGCTGAAGTAAAACAGAGCGGGAGGGGGTGTGGGGAAGGGCGCTGCGCGCCCCAAAAGCCACAGAAGCCAGAAGCCACAAAAGCCACAGAAGCCAAAAGCCACAAAAGCCACCAAAGCCAGAAGCCACAAAAGCCACAGAAACAAAAAGCCACAGAAGCCAGAAGCCACAAAAGCCACCTAACCACTAAAAACAAAAAATACCACTTAACAAAACATCCCTTAACATCACCCTCCCCACAGAAACCACCAAAAGCCAGCGAAAGCCAACAACCACCAAAAGCCACAAGCCTGCAAAATCTATTTAAAAACAAATAATTCCACATTACAAAGAACAATACATCCAAAATAAGTATACCCTCCTCAAACAAAGGACATGATTCAGCAAACTAAGTTATCGCTTTTGAGGGGGGGCTATCGCTTGTGCAGGTTTTAGCAACAATGTCAACATAGCTGATCATATATCCAAAAACTGCAGAAATATGGTTATCGCTTTTGAGGGTGGCCTATCGCTGTCCAATGCAAATCACGACCGCTCTTTACTAAATTAGTCAATGCACGTTTGGCTGTTGCTCATTGATCTGATAACCTTGCTATTCAGCCTTGTCTCAAACTGGGGAGACTCAGAATTCCTGATGAGACCATGCTAAATGAATCACAAACAACGGACAGAAACGCGTAACAACGCAAAGTCTAATCCTGTCTAGACTCTAGACTGTAAACTCTGAACATCTACAGTAGCCATATTAGAGAGCATGCAAAATCCGTCGCTGGGCCCAGTCCTTTCCGCTCGTCGCAGGACCAGAAGATATCACCCTATCACTGGGGGGAGATAGAACGAATGGACTTGGAAGATATCGCCCTATAAAGATCCAACTTCTTCTTCACCAAACCCCACCGCGGGCCACCGCCACAGCGTCAAGGGGCGGTCGCCACCACGGCGGCTTCCTGGTGTTCTAGTTTTCATGGGTACACGCACGTCCATGCAGTGTCAATACACGTCCAAAAGACGGTGGCAAGCACTGTGCTAGTCATCTTAGACTGGTAGTGGTCGTCGCGTTCAAGGCCGCCTGGGACGTGGTATGGAAGTACGGTGAGTTGCTTTGTTGTTTCGTGTTGTTTCCATATATATATACACTTCATTATACTTCTAAATGACTGAGGTTACCAGTCAACAAAACACCAGAGCAAACCAAACTCGGGCGGGGGTTGTCATCTCCTTCGAGGGTGTTTGGTCTGATGATGGCATCTGGGATCCTCAACTAAGTCACGTTTTCCATGTTTTCGCTACACACAAAGATGCTGGACAAATTTCAGGATGATGGACGATCGACCCAAGGCAGTCATTCAACACGCTCTTTGCGACGCGCGCGCAGCGCGTTGGCTCCTGCAAATCAGCGCTCTTTGCGACGACCTTCGCCGAGTTCGCGTCGATCATCACACCAAGGCGCTGTAGCCTCAATGTTGGCGGCGCTGCGCATTCAATGCAGTCCGGATATGGAGATGGGTCAAAGCCTAACCCCCCCACAACATCTTGTTGCTTAACCTTCCAGGTAGGTCAACCGTCAACTTGGGTATCCTGGTTTCACTCATAGCCATATGAAACGCCCTATATACTCATCGACAGCATGCTTGAGGCTGAATGAGGCCTTTAATCCCATTGCATCGGACATGATGAAGCAACTAGAAGCTGCCTGAAGTTCATCCGTGATCGTTGAATCTGAATCGCCCATGCTCCAGTGAAGCACAGTCGAAACCCTGCCAGCGATCCTGGAAGAAAACAGCTTGTCACCAGACGGTCAAATTCGATTTCTATGGTGATCCGTGATCCGTTTTTCCGGATCCTCAAACGTTCAAAAAGGCCGACCTGATAACTCCCTCCAATCCCAAGCAAGTTACCGACAACAACTAGCATCCAAGTGGTATACAGATCATTCAGCCACAGCAAAGAAAGTATCAAACACACGGTCTCATCAGTCTCCCCAACAAAATCCCAAACGCGAGTTTAAACACCTTCCGCCTTCCGCCTTCATCTCTCATCCATCTCTCATCCCCGCAGCCCGTTGGGATCCGTCGTGGTCTTCACACTGAGCTGAAGCATTGCGCCCGCGCGATCCACCAGAACCTGCACCGCCCTGAGCAAGAAGGGCGCGTCCGGACCGTCCGGACTGCCGGGGGTGGAAAGTCTGAAGTCGACTTCCATGTGCATGGCTCTTCTTCCAAGGGAAACGGCACCGAAAACAGAAAGTCTCTGCAACTTGACCAAGAGTTCAACATCAAGGATGAACCCATCACAAAACATGCTGCCCCCTAGGTTCTGCTACAAAAAAGACATGTTTTCGAGCACTTCATGCAATTGTTGTGCTGTCTTGCGGTGTTTCCAAATACCCGCAGTGCCACTAGGGGAACACGATGTACGGGCAGTGTTGAGCTGTGATGCACACGCGTAATGGAAGATAGGGTCGGGGAGAGGGGCGGGGAGTGAATGACGTTCTTTGAACACTTTGCTCCTGTGAACGGACGGTTCTGGGACCCAGTGTAATGTTGTTCTTGAAGGAAAAGGGGCGATCCTACCATGAATGCCGTTTAAACAACCTTTGACTTGTCCTTCCTCTGAAAGGAAAACCACATGGTATTGAAATCAAACCAGTTACAAAGGCGCGTTACCTGTTTGAGGGGGGGCGTGTTATTACCGTCCGTGAGGGATACGAAGGATCTGAGACTCTGAGAACTATGCACCAGTCGAAGAGGAAATAGTTCAAAGCTGACAGGAGACCTTCATTCTTTCGGTCAGCGGCATCACCTCAAGAACCAACGCCTTCACTGTCAGGTCACGCCTTCACCGGCATGTGCGCAAACGCGAAATACTGAGTGTTTGAGTCATGAACTCCAAGCAATTCTCGATCATCACAGTACAAAGAATCATGATACTTGTTCAGTTGACATCGTGCAATTCTTCGATTCCGCGGCCAAACTGTTTGGCCAGGCGTGCGTCCACTGTTCCCAACCCACGCGCGCCCAGCCCTTCTTCCGTATTCCCCGCCTGCCCTCGGGCAATTTGCTGATGTAGTCCACGGTGGAGCCTCAGGATCCCCGGTAGACACACCAGAATGGGTATCTGAGTGTCTGAAGAAACCATTAAAGAATATGGCAATTGGATAAAGATATAGATCATAGTCTATCATAGTAATAGTCTGAGTATGTTCGAGATCATCCTCACCTGACCACCATAAACCCACCATCTACATCCATCTATCTATCCACTGTGACTGACTATGACTGTTGTAACCAACCTCTAATTACAATTTCACCAACAATAGATGCTCAATGTCTCTTTGATCGGTGATTGTCAGCAGGGTAAGTTTGTTTTCCCCCCGACCCTGGGTTGCAAAGATTGTCCACAAACAAACTTAACGATTGAATCCAAAGGAGACTTGGGACATACCTCATACCTTAATAGGCAGGTCATATGAGCCAAATTCTCTTGGGGATGTCGGAAGGCGTTCCACATGTCATGTGTCTCAACATAAGCTTGATCACCTAATGATCTGTCATGAAGAACCTTTATATTACTACGGGGTCAAGCCTAGTAGCTAGGATGATTAGCTATGTCTATATATATATAACTAACGAATTATAATATATAGTCTAATAAACTCAGTATGCTTATTTAAGTTACAGTATGACCTTCGGACCCGGTCTCCCCATCGAAAAGCCCACCGCTCTACCAAGGCCCCAGCGCACATCGGCGCCCTTGAAGTTCAGGTCCAGACCTTGGTCATGGAATCAACCGGGTGGACGGACATGGACATGGACAATATGGATGTTATTGAAGTTGATGGACATTAATCAGGACATGTCCGACGGGGACATTCTATAGAGTTCTTGCATGTATCCACAACCTGCCCGCAGATTCAAGAAGATGCAGTCTGACGACGTCAGACTGCATCTTAACTCTACGAGCCTGGCACACCTTGCTATGAGTTGAAACATTTTGAAACACAATTCCAACTCCCCCGCAAGAACTAACATAGAACCTGAGAATTGACCTGTGGAAGACCTCTGCGGACGATGTTCTTTGTCATGATAGGTCGGCTGGACGGACCAACTGCGATGGCTAGAGCTAGTTAGATCGAACAGGGAATCCCATGGGATTGGGCAGGAACTGTTGGGGCCAAACACTGTAGACTACCCTGGCCATCTAATCGGAGGAAACCATCAATGGCCATGGCAGCCATGAACTCAGCCGCTCAGCCTCCGCTTTGCGCTTGTTCAGAAAAGCGACTCATTCACAGGAGACAGCACCAACTCAAAGACCCTACCAATACCTACCTGATCAATGGGAATATCAATAGTGGTATCGTGTAACAGGTCACGAGCTGAAACTTGTTTCAGGCCCTAAATCAAAAATAGCCGCTCAGTGCAAATGCAAACCGAATGAGGAGTCCGAGGCATGATCCTAACAGTCAAACCCACAAAGTGAAGCATCCTCGGTTTTGGTCACCTGTACTTATTTCGCCACTGCCGCTCCCTCCCTTGACGCACCGCTCCCATGGCACGGCACTGCCGATCTTGAGTAGAACATCCTTCGCCTTCAAGCCCGTCCGGACGAAGGCAGCTTCATCGACCGCCTGAAGGCAGGGTCGACGTCTTCAGAGATGAGTTTCACACCAACAGCAACTGAACAGCAACTGGTTGCACCATGAGGGTAGTACACTTCCGTAAAAGGCAATCAGGTCTCAATCAGTGGGTTGGCTTTCCTTCCATGAGCCATTACAAACGAATCTGTTCATGTCCATTGATGCCATTGTGACCTTTGCCTGTTGGTCTGTCTATCAACAACTAGATTCTACTAGATTATATATATGTTATAAACATTTATAAACAAACAAACCTACATCATGTACGTGTGTTGTGCGATGGTACAAGTCACACTTCGAAGGTACCTGCAAAAAACAAAGAGCACGACACGTTCATCGATCTCTGCCACGGTTGCAGTTGCGTGACACTACATATATGCGGCATATATGCGGCATATGCAACTAAGCCAGCCTTGCTGTGCACACTGCTGTCCTTGCAACTTGAACAAAGAGATGTACAATATGTGCAACATCTTTGCAAATCGTCTTGCGCGACGAATTCAATACAAAAAAGTCAACGCATCCAAAAAACGGTTTAAAGCAAAAGACAACATAGAAAACAGAACACCTTTTAATGGACACATCACTACCCACCTGCCTCCCCATCCCTTCCCAGATTCCCAGATCGACCCCACCCCCGCCTCGATGCGGATGCCCGGCAGCGGATCGCGGGTGGGAACCCCGAAGTTCAGCACCCCCCAGAAAATCGAAGACCAAGCCTTGGGACGAACGGAGTGAGTGTGGCCGCACGCATGGCTTAGAACGAACGTGCATCGCACAGCGCTTGCTTTTTTTGCAGTGGTCGGAGTTAGTTTGCATGGCAGAACGAACGCTTGGCAGCGTTTTTTTGTTTTTCAGTGGCTTGGGCAGCGGTTTGGTTGGAGGTTCGACATGGTAGACTACCGCCAGTTCAAACAAGAGCTAGTGGCCCCGCATGGCCCCGCATTTTAGCTGATGGTCAATAGAAGGATCTTGATTCTTGATTTACCAAGCAAACGGTGATCATATTCTCCTGACTATTAGCGTGACTGAGATTGTTGCATCCTATCGTGTTGGTTCAAACAAATGGCGTTTGGAGCGCCGATTGACCACTGGCAAAGCAAGGGAAATGGCCCACAGTCGTCCTCTCAAAAGGTCCGCAGCTTTTTACGGCTAAAGCCATGCAGTAATTACTCGCTTGTTATGGATACCGTATTTACAGTATATAGTTGGAAGACACCTTCATCACCTCCAGAGCCTGAGCAGAAAAACTGATTTTCTGAGAAATGTTTCACCAGATTAAACGCATGCCACAGCAACAATCCAACAATCCATAACAATATATATAACAATCCTCATCATCGATGTACCTTTGTGCTTTGCTAGCCCCCAGAAGCTGAATGTATGAAATCTGCTTGTGCAAAATGCCCATTTTCACCTTAGCATGATGACCCCATGCTGGATCACCTCTCCTTTGTGCTTGCGCATCCCCGTGGCCGTCCGTGCGTTTCTTCAAAACCCCAGTCGTGTGCACCGAACAAGGGGTCTTTGTCGGTGGTCGCAGGGTGTGCATCAAACCAGGGTGTGTTGGCCATTTTTAAGAAATGGATTCAACAGAAATCAAATAACACAAATCAATGGCTTGTTTCTCGTTTTCTGGCTCGTTTTTGGGTGACTCGTCACTGTCTGCTTCTCACGCTTCTCAGTCAGTCGAGACCACGGTGTCGCCAAGCGTCGACCGTGACATTGGCTAACACGCCGCCAGCAAGAACCCATAAGCGCTCCACAGCGCTTCGGGCCTCGAACTCTGTGGCCTCAGACGCCCCGCCACCGGGGGGAAACACAAGCGAAACGTTAGGAAACAAGTAGGACCTGTGGTGACATCGTCATGAAAACAGCTTCGGACTTCGAAACGAGTCAGGCTCTATGATGGTGCGATTGGCTGGGGGGGGGGAAGGTCCGGACCAGCAGCCTGGGATGAGGAACCGTGCAAGCAGCCTGTGTTGAATGTCAAGGGCCATTTACATCGCGCACACGGGGATTTCATCTTCGGACATCAAACAACAATAAGAATCACTGCGATTCCGGCAGACCAGTTTCATGAGTACATTGGTTCATAAGGTTAATAGTATAGTTATGAACAAGTTTATATAACGAGTACATTGGTTCATAGGGAATAGTATAGTTGATAGATGTTGATAGAGTCTTTCCATTTTGAGACACATGCAGGACATTGTCCATATACAGGGCCTCTATGAGGATCGATCACACAACACTGCAAATGGCCATCATGGCTTCCAATGGTTCTTCAACATCCAGTCTTGGATACCCTCATGGTCGACCAAGCTCTGCCTCACTTGGATTGTTTCAGCAAGCTGGAAAGAATACCAACTGTCCCCTACCCTAAGACCCTAGGAGGAGCAAAACAGCACCACCAGGCTGTTTCCGGTCGAGTCGTTCCGAAGAGTTCCATGCGTCGCGGAGACAGGAGTTCCCAGACTGGGTTGAAGCCAGGTACCATTTGTCCATCTGGGAGTTTCACGGTCTTGGCATCCTGAAAGCGAACCTCAGCAGCAAACAGTTTCGAAAGAAACTCTAGCGTATCTAGCCTTTATCCATCTAGCCCTGAACTCAACCCGCTCAACAAGCCAAGTGGGGGTTGAAACAATCACTGTCTAGAGTCTAGAGGTAGCGAACTATCAAACCCAAGACTGAGTGTTTGCTTTTGCCGGCTTTTCACACGAGGACCCTCCGTTGTCTAAGCGGCATAGCCGCCAATCGGCAGCGCTCGCAGCACAAACTCCGTCCCTCCCGCATCGCGGCCCAGGCTGACCACCTGCGGTGAGGGGTGCAGTCGATCGATCAGCGGCTTTCAGCCGAATAGAAAGAACTGGTTTATATAATCTTATATATTCTATAACCCCCCAAATATGATATACACAAGTGGATCCACACGTTCAGAATGTATTAGAAAGCGTGCCACGATCTATTTGAGGGACCACTGTTAGAAGCGATCGGAGTGGTTGAGTTCCTTCAATCTGATTTCCACAGTTTTGTGTCGTGATGGATGTCTGGGCTTCCCTCTTCACATGAGTTATAAACACAGGAATAGGCTGGTCTGCTTGGTTTCTTACTGCACACCCTTGTTGTGCATCCCCCAATGCAGTGAATATACAATGTTTGAGGTGGAGACCTTTCACCCTTTAGCTTTTAATCCACTGCTGGGAATGGTTGAGATTGGGAGCCTCAGTCAAACAAGCAGTAGTTCTCCGTCTCCATCTTTGTCTGGGCGATTTAGAAGGCAAAGCTGAACCAAAGCGGTACAAAACAACTATACACCTGCAGGTAGATCGGGCAAACCAAAGCACACGGTTTAAAACCCTGGAGAAGGAAAGATAGACTAAGATAGAGCTCAAGTTACAAGGTGTTTCTCATGTAGGAATCATCTGGCTTACACTTTGAACTGAATAATGAACGGCCAAGAAGGCCTGCAAGCATAAACATGCGCGATCAGTTTTCAGTTTGTTGCGAAAACATGAGGCAATACAAGCAGCAAAGATTCACAAATCAAAAGGATTGATAAGTATCAACTACTAACATGGTTTTTACCGCAGCCTGCTACCACAAATACCCTCCACGGTCCGCCCGTTTGACCGATCGAGAGCGACCGGCCTCTGGGCCAAAGCCAATGGCGAACTCCTCCGCAGGGAGACCCAGGCTCCGGAGGCACAGGAAGTGCCCCCCCTGTGGCACCGGTCGTTGTGCGTCGAATCCAACGCGTCGTTGTGCACCGGTCGGAGACCTCCTGAACCCGCTCGGTGGTGAGGTGAGGCTGCCTTTTCGCATTCGAGATTTGATGGTCTCCACAAAGAGAGAGAGAGAGAGTACGCTTGAATGAAGAGCTGGTGAAGCCCTTCTGAGAACCCCGCCTGTCATATTTGTATATAAATATATGTATATTATATATACTAGTTTATATAATATGTGTAACATATGACATTGCAAGATATTGCATGTTCCCAACCCCATTCGAATGGTCAACAGCTGATCCTTCCAGGGCCATCGTGCCGGTCAGCACTATGGCACGAGCCCACGAACGCCCTAAACCCATAGCCCCCTGGCTCCCAGCCCAACAAATGCCTCCGCTCTTCAGAGACTCAAAGAGAACGTCTCAACTGAAGACATTGGCACGTCTCAAAACCCCACAAGCACCTAGAAACACCAACTGAGGCAAATTCTGAAAAAAAAAACTGCAAACTCTCTCAGGAACTTTTTTTTAAGAGTCCTGGAGCCGGACCATCCCAGTAATGAAAGGACAGCAATCCCGCCATCACAGCCACTAGTAGAGTCACTAGAGGCTACTGAAGCGTCTTTAGTAGGGTGCAAGTGTGATGTTCTTCTCAAGAAGCCTGTCAATTGCCAAATCGCTTTTAAAACAACGTCAGCTGAGCTGGGTATCCGCACTCATGGTTCCGTCTGTTCCTACCCAAGCTTTCTCATGTATTGTTTTCTTGACAAACCTTGACGAACCATGACAAACCAGAGACAGTGGGTGTATGTGGGTTGTGTTTGGTCCTTTTCTCCAGCTGCCTTTGCCACCGCAGGAGCATCTATGACCATCTAACGTCCTCGCCTCATGACAAATAATGGCCAGCGCTAAGGCTGAGACCACCTTGCGAGTGAAAGGCACTCTGATTCTCGCCCGAAGGATCGAGTGGCGATGGGAGTGGAAGAAACATCCATTTTCCCTTGGATTCTTCAGCACCCCAACACAGAAGCAGCAGCAAAATGGAACCTATTGATCCAATTCATTGATTTTATACGTAGGGAGAAGAAACAACCTGATAATTTGGAATCTCGACTAACTGTCAGGGACCTTGAAGATTCAGACAACAAGAGTATCAAATAGCCTGTTGGAACGAACACTGGTTCCATGAATTGTCAGGGCCTGGGACCCAAAGCATCCTCACACCACATCCCCATATCCAGCACGACGACTAGCGTGGCAACAAAGGAGCTACTAATTACCCTGGACCAAGGACCATTTTGCCACGGATTGTAGTGGGTCATGAACGTGGCTTCATGATGTTCCACAAATCAACCTCAAGAACCCAGCTCCGGCAGCCGAAAACACCTCTAGGGGCTGATCTGGCACTGCGGGTAGAGCAGCCGCCAAAGAGGTTCGCCTCAGCTCCTCAGTGCTGAGATCTTAACAAGGCGATCGAGACCGAGCACTTCCCGAGCACTTCCTCTAATTAGCTTTCACATCACCAATGGCCTGTCTTGGAGGCTACACAGGTGTAGTTATGTAATTGCTCTCTTGTTGAGGAATCAAGACTGTGTCTAGTCCAAAGTCCAGAGTAGAACAAAAGTGATGATATCGAGCATGCGACTTGCATAATGATTACATCATACATTATCATATATTGTACATGTGAAACTCAGTGGCTCATCGACGGCTCATCGACGGCTGGAAGACGCCCAGCCAAAAGGACGCCCTCAGCAGGTTTACGGTTTGGTGGTCCCAAGTCGGTGGATGGTATGGAGCTCAGGCTGGGCGTCCCACCAACTGACTTGGTGGGTTTGGTGAGTCTCGGTCGCACACCCCCCGGCACGCCCGGCCCGTGCTGCCAGCTCGGTTTGAAACCCAACGCACACCAAGCGGAACAAGCCCACCAAGCCGTGACAAAAGCCATACAACAACCATCAACAACATATCCTCTTGAAACTGGGCCTGTTCAGCTTGCGTCTCCCAGGATGTGCACTCTTCTGGCGTAGCTTCTCCACGCTTGAGGGCGATCTGAATCCCACGATGGGTCCTCCGGTGATGGATCCTGCGTGCACATGGTGAGACAAAGACTTGAATGGCTGGTGGCACCCGACAGGGTAGTTCGCACACAAAAAGCTTGGTGTCCGGATCTCACCCCTAACAAACACACGCACACACGCACACGCACCACTGCTCTTCGTTTCAGCCTCATGCCTTTTAACAAGATCAGTGCCTCATCGAGCTAGATGTTCGTTGAATAACATGTCGCTGGATAGCACCCATCACCCCTTTCCGGACACGTTTTGAACATCGAGCGCGTTCCAAACACAGCCGCTCCTTGCGAGCGCAAGGCCGCCCAAAGGTACGGCAAGCACCAAGGAGCCAGGCCATTTTCCTGGAGCTACGGGTAGCCAGCGCGTAAGTGGTGTAAGTGGCTACACATGTTACTCATTAGTCGGATGGGCTTCGGTCTATTCCCTCCACCAGCTTACTTCTATATTCCATACATTTCATAACATGTCCATATATTGCATATATTCTCAACATAACCTCATCTGTGCCATGTTGGGTTGTTTGGGTGTTGGAATACAATATGTATCGCCGACATATAGCTGGTTGTTTGCACATGGGCGGGCCAACCACATGGGATTGAAACGGCACGACGCATGGCGGGCCTCGGGTTGCCCGCAGCTTCGTGGCATCTCCCAGTGATCTCGAACACTCCTGGGAAACCGATATAAGGATGAGCTGGAGCTGAAGCGGCTCAACCTGGGATGGACTGATAAATATAGACTTGCACAACCAACATATGTGTGTTGAATATTTAATGATATGACCATAAACCCATGGTGCTTGGGCATGTTGTTGTAATGTGTTTTTGGTCCTCCACGATCTTTGAATCCCTGGGCTGATGGAGTCCGACATAGAACACACCTGAAACTGGCCTCACCTCTCTGGTTGACCTCCGCAAAAGGTTCTCATACGTAAACGAAGACAGCTGGACATGAGCCGCGAGTCGCGGTAGAAAGTAATCCACGAGCCGCGAGGTTGCTTCCACTATGCGCTCACCTTCACTCCCCTGTGGAAAGCCGGCCCAGGAAATCACTCGTTGGCTCCTATCGAAAGTTCTTGGGTCCAGAAAACCGAACTTGTGGGGGTGACAGAACCATCGTTGGCACAAGGTTTTGGTGTGGATCGTTCTGTGTGCTTTCTGTCAAGTAACACATAAAGAATTGGTTAATGGTTAGACACAAAGCTCGTTACTAATGGTATCTATAGTTTACTAATTATATATATATATATTCTGAGACTGTGGCACCAATTCATAATGCACTCACTTGTATATGTCATATGTATATATATACACCCATATGCACATGCATCTACAAAACATCAAGGATTTGAACTGTCCCCTGCCGTCCTTTTCTTTCAGCACTGGCCCGTTCCAGTGGCTCCAACGGGCAGGATATGGCACGGAAACAAACATGGCGTGACGCTTAAGGCAGGAGGACACAAGAAGTGTAACAGGGTTCAACAGGTTATGTGGGTATATGTGCTTCCAGCCACTGCGAAAGCCAAGTCCTAAACATAACGAATTGCATCGAGAATCTAAGTACGTGTTTGGCTAGCATCCGCATCCTACGTAATGTTGCAGGCCAACTACATACAGCTTGCATGCGTTGATCCGGGTTGCATTCTGATTCAGATGTTGCAACTTATTTGTAGAGACTGTGGAATTCTTTACCTAATCATCCAAGTCTCCAAGTTGTTTGTGGTTCGTGTGAAGGCACCTGCCGTGGTTCATGTGGTTCCCCAATGTTCCCTCACGTTCCCACATGGCATGCTTTCTTGCTTTGTGCCAGGTTCGAGCCACCTTCCCACAACCCCAGGTGGCCCAGGTGTAAAGAAAACACGGAACCAGGGGAACCAGCAACTCAGTGCAACTGATCTCTTTTTGCATCAAAAAGGGACCGCTCTCAATGAATCCTGCACAGTGCATCACATGGCACTCTCATCATGGACCAGGGACCGGACCACCCACGGACCCCGACCCAGTGGGAACTCAGGACTGACCAGACCTGGAGCTAATTCCAAGACTTGGAGCTCAGTCGATGAGTAGACTGAGTAGGACATGGCTTTTTTTTTCTGGCTTTCTCATGTTGCCGTCTTGCCGTCAAACGCCATGTTTTGCCACTCAAAAGTGGTCAAACCTATGGACGTACCCAGCTTCAAAGCAGCAGGTTATGATCGACCCTGGGGCCATGCCCAGGCCCATCGCTGGGCTACCGGGCGGACAGCGGACCAGGCGGAGCTCCGCCGAAGGCCTGGTTGGCCTGAGCCTGGCCAGGGCCTTTCCACCCGTTGTCATTCTTCACCTCAGAATGCCCAGAAATACTGTCTGTGGATTTCACCAAGGTGTGCGAAGTAGGCGAAGAAAGAATGCTGAGAACTGACTTGTGGGGTCATGAGTCTTGGTTGGTTTTGTCGAAGCAGCTGACTCGGCTCCCAGCAATGCGTGAGCGTATGAGCTCCTGCTACAAGCTCTGACTTCGGTTCACATGATGACAATGATGACAGAGGATCGACACCCATCTGAACGCAAGAGGAAAACTGAAAGCAAACCTTGCGCCATCTTGCACCTGTCACCTGTGGTCTAAAGTTGAGTTGAAGCAGCCTGGAGTTTGAGCCCAAATAGCATGTACTATCATGCATCATCATGTATATATATATATATGTCTTTTTTACACAATATCATATTATATAACATATATATATATATATACTTGTTAACCTCCAACAAAGGATGCTCCTTTGAGTGGCCAATGGACCAATTCCCCAATGGACGCTTCATTCGAGTCTCTCACAACCGTCCCAGTCCTCTGCCATGTCCAGCTGGGACAAATCGCCGGGACCCATGATCACCTACGCGGCAGGTCAAAACGAAAACATGTGAGTGGCAGGCCAAGAAAGCTAACAGATTCTTTCTTCCCAAAAGCCACGTGCATGCTGAATTTGGACCTCTTCAATCAAGATTTGTTTTTGGAATTGCATATGCTAGAAATTACAAAATATACACAGACATGTCACATGTTCGTGGACATTTCCTTTGAATCAACGCAACTAGTCTGGACTGATCTAGGAGACAATTGGGTTGGTTGGAAAAAACTAATTACAAAACTTGGCAAATCAACTCTAGATCACAAGAAGAAGCAAAATGAGATCTACGGATTTACCGCTGAGATCATGCCCAGAACGATCAGAACGGCTCACATGACATGCGTTGACATTCGGACCCGCCCGGACCCGCTCGGTTTGTTCGTTCGACCAGCTGGCGATTTGGAGAAACAGCTCCCGGTCCCAACCAATGAAACAAAGTCGACATGTGACATCGGGTGCTAGCGACTATAGATCCACGAATCGACAGTCTCTGGCAGTTTGGCCGACAGTCTCAGCGATAAAGCAGTCAGCACGTGACCAAACGCACGGGCAGGAACACACTAGTAACATCTAGTAACAAGAAGCTACGAACGGAGCATTTCGGGCATCGCTACGAAGGGAGCGATCGGACGCTACGAACGGCGCTCCTGGCCGTACTAGTAACAAGAACGGGCAGGAACACCAACGACCCACGAGAAATCCGTCAGGTGCCTTGTGAGAGGCACTGGGCAGCTCAGGTGTCTCACTGGGTCTGATTTCCTGAGATCTGCCAAGCGGAAAACCCCCGGTGTCTCACTGGGTCTGGTTCCATCTGCATCTGCATGGACTTCATCCGTATCAAAAGAGGTGAGGTGTAGCGGCTCGCTTCCCATTCCTCGCTTCAGCCTCCACTCAAAGCCTCGAACGTTCCGGGGAGCTCCAAAGGTGAGACACGTCCCTCACGTCCCTCACGTCGGAACCGCTCCACACGACTTCCCAGGGACACGGAGTCGTAGGCTTTATAGTCACGCCTACTATAGTAGACCATGACTCATGACCCAATCATAAACAGGGCGACCCACCAAACAATGCAAAACCATGAGCTACAAAACTCGGTAGATATTAAACAACAATTAATCTAATTGTCAATGCACGCAGTGTTACTCCTTTGATTGAAAAGGTGTGCACTGGTTGCCAACGCATCCAAATCAACGCCACCTTGAGCCGGCTTGGCCAATCAATCCAGGTCTCTATGTTGAGATTGTTGCACTTCAGGCCTCGTGAGACAATGAGACCAAGGTGTGGCTGCGGCCCGCGGCTGAAGATTTCTCAAATGACACCATCCACTGTTGGGCAAAAAAAACACCCATCAATGGTTTTGACAAGCGGTGTAAACCCAAATGAAAGCAGGAAGACTCATCCCTCAATCAATCGCATTCAAATCCTTCCGTCAATGCTGAACGGTGACCTCAGTCTTCGCTTGATCCATTCGACTCCATCGTCGATGGTTCTTAGACACACAAAAGCCTCTTCACACCCTTCATGTGCACCACATTCACCCCACAACCAAGAAAACATCTAGATTCCGCATCTGGGCTGACGAAAGGACGGTATTTGGAGGTCGAAGGTGTCCAGAACGCCAACCTCTTCTCTTCTACAGTAACCCAATCCTGTATACCTCATAATAATCTAATCTAACAGTAAGAAACTTATCCATTCTTTAGAGACCATCCAGATCCATCCAGCCCCAGTTCTGCCAGAAATCTCTCCAGTTCCAGCGCCCACGTCTCCTCCCTCCGTGCTTCGAACTTCCCCCTTGGACCCTGGGCGCATCTCAGTGATGGTCGCACCCTTGGGGCCTCTGCTCGGTGCCCGTCGGATCGCCCCGAGGACGAACCACGAAGGACGGGTCGACGAAGGACGGCTGACCGCCGTTTCGGCCAGGGAACGTCGGTGGGTTTCGGGGCGGAGAGACGTTGGTCTCTTCGAACATGGAGAAGAACACTCCCGGATGGAGGGTGAAACGAAACTTCTGGAGAACACGCGATGGATGGGGGGCCACACACCACCTGAGTCCTCGTCCTCGGCGAACTCGTATCGTTTTTTTTCAGCTGCGTGGACCCCCAAAAGCTGGTTGTGCCTGGGTTCAGAGTACGGCTCTAGACAACAACTGCCTACAGTGGTTTCAGAGTAGCTGGCACAAATTTGAAAATGTCCTTTAGATGGGGGTCCATCCAAACCACCTCTTGGATCCTTTTCAGGATTGTGCCATCTACTCTGAACTACTGAATCACTCTCCCCCTCTCGTGGATGAGAAGAGTACCAGAGATCCAGGTCCCCAATGTCTCATGCCCATCCTGACCCCAATCAGACCAACCTTATGCCTACATTGACCCCATTTCAACCCATTTCAAACCATCATCAGTCCTAGCTAAGCACTTCATGAAAAACCTCCTGAGGTCCGCTCCGATGAGTGAGCTCACGTGGTCGGAGGCGATGAGGATTTCACGCCTTAGTCCGAGGTTCCAGGGTGTCGTAGGTTTTGCCCGAAAGAAGGCATGGAAAGGGGAGAAACAAAGAAAGGGAAGGGGAGAAACAAGTTGGATCGATGATGATCGACCGACTCTTGCGACTCATTTGCTTTGCTCTGCTTTGCGCACCATGCAAAGTTGTTTCACATCCGAAGGTCAGGTCATGTTGTGACTTGGGAGTGGAAATGAACTTGCTGGCTTTGACTGTTGACGGACCATCCAAACACTGTGTTGGAGCCTTGACCAATTCTGACAGGGGGCGACCCTGCGTATCGAGGTCGGAGTTGATGACCCTGCGAGAAGGATGTGGAGGGGCAACGATCCGAAAGTCCTAACTCACTGGAGAAGAGATCCTGCGCAAGGACGAACGTGAACCTTTGGGAGATGCAATTGCTTGGATCTGGACTTGTACATGTCACTGCAATTACCCTTTTTTGGCCACAAATCCTGGAACACCTGCAGGGCACCTGGAACAACAAAGGTCTCCTGTCCGGGTAGATGTGCCACCCAAGGTGAGGAACTTGGGTGGTAAGGTTTACGGGAGACTCGGGACACACGGTCCCCTCAAAAGCAGGGGAACTATCTGTTTATACTAAACGTTCAGGGTCATGAGGAACCGGGTCCATCTAGCACGAGCAGCGGATGAACGGTGATCCTTTCGCGCAATTGGCGACAATTTGTTCAACCTGTCTGCGTTCTGATCACTCGGGCGCCCGACGTCCCCGCGTTCTCCCCAGCGATGCCGAGCCTGATGGCAGTCGGTTCAAACCGTGAACCATCCGACGATTCGATTTGGTGTTGTCAGTCCGCAGTCCGCAGCTGCAGCTGCTGCCCTGCTAAAGATGTCTGGAGCGGTTCTCTCAGGATCCTCCGTTCTGTGATCTTGCTGGTTTTTGACGCAGCATGACGCATCCATCCATTGACAGTGATGTTGATGATTTGATATGTCACCAGGAAATTGCACACATCGAAGGACGAAGATGAATAAGTTCCGGTCGAATGTCGGCTTAGGCTTAGTGCTCCCTCAAGACACTCAACATGGCAATCTCTTGAACCTCCAAGTGCATTGGACAATTAAAAGT